CCGGCCGAGCTGCGGGTCCGCGTGCGGCTGCCCGACGGCCAGGTGACAGAGGAGACCCTGCAGGCGGACAGCGAGGCCGACAGCATCAGCCTGGAGCTGCGCAAGCCCGATGGCACCCTAGTCACCTTTACCGCCGACTTCAAGAAGGTGAGAACCGCGCGCCAAGCTCACAGCCCGATTTCGGGCGCACCCGGCCTACAGACGGGAAGACTGGGCCGGAGGGGACGGACGTGATTTACTCAAGGTCAACGGAGCTCTTCTACCTCCCTGCCCACCGCCTACGCCCCGCGCTCCGCGGCTGCCCGCGGTGAACTCCCTGACTTCCCGCTCCTGCATCCTCCCATCCTCTGGCTTGCTCCACTTGCTTGCCTCTGGCCACCCGAGCCCCGACTCACCCCCTGACCAAACCCTGACCCCTCCCCTGCTCCTGCTCCCCCAGAGGACCCTCTGAAATATTTCATGCTGACATCCAGGCCTCCCTTCCTGGAGTCCCTGTGCTGTAAGGGAAAGTCTGAGCTGGATATCAGAGGTCTTGGGTTCTCTCCGAGTTGCTGTGTGCTCTAGAGCAAGTCCCTTTTCTTCTCTGGACCTGTTTCTCAGGTCTACAGGGCAGTAAGATGACTTCGAGGCCCCCCCAGCCCTGAACCCTTGGAGTCTCTGAACCACCTCTCCCTGTTTCCCTTTCCTGGGCAGAGCCTCCTGCTCCTAATCCCTCCAGCATGGAGTTGCTGGGGGCTTTCGGGAAAGGGGCCTGGAAGGGCAGTTGGTGACCAGCGGTCACCCAGCAGCAGGGAACTTGGAGAGAACGTAGGTAGGTAAGTTTTAGGTGTTTGAAGGAAGTTTCCTGATGGCACCAACCCCTTTCCTAGGAAAAAGTGGTCCTGAACTCCTCATCTCTGAGGAAGAATGAGGAGAACCTAGTTCCATAGCTGGGCAGCTGGAGAAGCCAAGGCCAGGGACAGCCACTTCTCTCCTCCCTCTTAGACTGGGAGCTGGGCTGGACCCTGGGAAGGGAGGAGCAGAGTCTGGGGAGTGGGCAGTGGAGTATGGAGTGAGAGTCAACTGCTGATCTGTCCCAAGACCACCAAGTTGTCACTGTCATAGGACTTAGCTGGTGGGGGAGCGGTCACAGACAGGAATGCTTGGTGGCCCTTCTTACTCCAAAGACCCAAGCTAGGTTCTCACAGGCAGGTGGGGGCTGAGGAGATTGCCAGTGGAGAAAGGGAAGTTGACAGGGCCACAGCAACCCCTGCCTCCACCTAAATTTCAGGGGCATTTTATCCAGGGTGTTCTGTTGTTGGGAGACCTGGATTAGTAGCTGAATCCACCAGGAGTCAGAGATCTGTTCCCCCTTATAAGTCCTATGACCCTGAACAAGAGCCTTTCATCCTGGGGACCCAGAGTTTCCGATCTCTGGGACCTTCTCAGCACCCAAAGTTATTTGTGAAAGGCAGTGGGTGGGGCTGAGCTTTTATAGCCTCTGGCTACAATTTGAGTTTTTTTTTTTTTAATTGCTCTGCCCTGAGGGAAAGGAGAGAGCCTAGGTAGCTGTGACTGTGGCTGTGATGAGGTCTTGGAGTGTGAGGTACTGGGGTTGGGGCTGAGTTTAGGGGATGGGTTTGACTGCCCATCTAGATAGTGCATTTGGAGCTTATTTTAATTTTCAGAGTGATTCAGACCTCTTCCTGGATATCCAAAGTGTGCTTTTAGGTTAGCCTCTGACCTAGAAGCTGGCATATCACACCGGTGCCTGGCATCTCCAGTTTCATCAGCAAGGGACAGAATTGGGAATGGAAGGCACAGAAAGGAAATCAGCTCTCCAAGGTCCCTCCCCCAACTCTAGGTTCTCATTTGGCCTGGGGCAGGGTGGAGTTGACATCTCAGGAGGGAGGGAGGAATGGTCTTTAACCTCACCTCAGTCCACTCTCTCCATTGACCAGAGTGGCTTCTATGTCCCAGCCCTTCTGGGTGGTCACTGCTTTTGTCATCTGCTCACTGATTAAGGCCTGGTGCCTCATAGTCCTTGGCAGATTTCCACCAGAAAGTTCTGTCTGGAAGTAATGACGGTTTTTGTTTTTGTTTTTGTTAAAGGCCTGAAAGTTTGTGTGTGTGTGTGTGTGTGTGTGTGTGTGTGTGTGTGTGTGTGTTTCATGTACCAAACCCATTTTTGGGGTAAGTTCTAAATCTGCTTCAAATAATATTTGCTTTCTAATCATCCTGGACTAGAAGAGACAGACTTGGTTTCTCATTCATGAGCTAGTGACTGCTGGGCCAATGATGTGATGTCCCCCAGGCCTTCCTTTCTTCAGCTGTAAAATGGGGCTAGTAATAATGCCTGTCCTGTGGTAAATGAGAATGAACAGGGTAGCGCACATGAAGTATTCATCCTGCATCAGGTGCTGTGTTAAATGCCCAGGAGCTAGAGGACCCGCTGGCTTTGATAATTGGGGCTCACACGGTGTCTCAGCCTGTACCATCCCTGCTAAGCTTGGACTCAAAGAGACTGAACGATGGATCCATGGTTCCACAGAAAGTCAGTATCAACCTTCGAGGAGCCATATTCGTTTCTGCTAGTGTTGTCCTGAAGCTGTAGCTCATCTACTCACTGTAGGGCACTGGAGCCTGGTTTTGGCTTACAGAGGCTACAAACAGTAAGTGTCAGATGGATTCTGGGACACTGGGAGGAGAGGGGCAGAATCTGGGGAGTGGGCTAGGGACCCAGTGAAGTTGATCGCAGGATCAGGGAGATCAATGGACAGTGGAGTATGGGGTGAGAGTCAACTGCTGGTCTGTCCCAGGACTACTGTGCATCTTTGCAAGCCTTGCCTTAGGCTGATCCCTGGCAGGCCCAAAGAATGCCATGGGTGAGTGGTGCCCAAGCTCTGCTGCACATATGAGTTACCTGGGGAGCTTTGAAAACTCTCCCATGGAATCAGAATGTCAGAGGGTGAGAATCAGGCTGCATTTTTCAGAGGACTCTAGGTGACCGCAATGTCCAAGGAAGCCTGGGGACTCCTCAGGGAGGGGAAGGGGTTTTGGAGGTGAAACCGTGTTAGACTGTTAAATGAAGCTGGAGCCCAAACTCAGCCACATATGTGAAACCTGCCATTCTACCCATAGTAACCCTGATGTGTTTTATTTCGGTCTTGTTTTTTGTTTTTGTGTTGGGCATTGAACCTCAGGCCTCAAGCATGCTAAACATGAGCTCCACCCCCATCCTTCCCAAAATATTTTAAACAATATCTTTAGGCCTATTTCTCCATGCCCTCATCATAAGAATTCTCATTCCTAATACACACTCAATAGGCAATAGGCTTCTTTATAATCTGGATCCCATACATGTAATTAGAACTATAGGTGCATAACCACTGGGCATGCCTAAGAACAGACACATCTTACCAGCTCTTACCTGGCTGGTTTGACAGCCCTCTTGGTCCCCATCCACCTAGCTAATGTCCCTGTCCAAGCTCTCTTTTGCCTCTGTCCCCCAGTCTGAGTGTCCAAAGCTGGGGAAAGGATGAGTCATGCTCCAGGCAGCCTGGTTTGGTGCTGGCTGGATGGGAAGTGTGGGGCTGAAAGATATGAAGAAAGTCATGTGTGACTGCATGGGGGCCGTGGATACATGGGAGAGGAAAGGAAGAGACATACTGCGGGAGTGAGAAAGGCAGGGATCACAGGGCCCGCAGGCTGAAGCCTCAGAGGGAATAACCAAGATCATCGAGCCACATGCACTGGGTGTCAGTTCAGCATCCCTCAGGAGGGACAAGGATCCAAGGAATTTGGAAACTTGTGCCCTGCCCAGGGCACCAGTGTGTGAGTGGGAGCCAAAGGAAGGAATAGTGCAGAATGTCAGAGTCAGTGCCCTAGGGGCTCCCGGTCTGGGAGGTGGGGAGCAACTTGGAGAGCCTGTGAGATATGCATAGTTAGTGAAGATTTACAGTGTGCAGATGGCCATGGCACTCCTGAGCCTGTTTGTCCTAAGCAGATGGAACATCGCGCGGATGTGGGACAAGAGAAGCTTTTAGGGCCCAGTGTCCCCCTGCTCTGTGTGTGTTAGGTCCCTTGTGATTTGATGTGTATGCCTGTGGTGGGTGGAAAAACCTTCTTGGCGATCAGAGGCAGAAGTGATTTCAAGGGAGGCCCAGAGCTTTCTGGAGCACAGAGCATTTTGTTGGGTGTTGGTGAGGAGTCACCAGATGGGATGATCAGGTTTTGGACATTGGGGCCTTGGATCTAACCCCAGTCCCTCCTCTGCGTCTGAGGAATTCCTCCTTGGACCAGGGATGAACAGTCCTGCCAAAGATTCACATTCACTCCCTGGACCTCCACCTGCATCTCTGACCCTTGTATGCTGTGTCCAGGTGGAGCTGTGCAAAAGACCCTCTTCCATATCTTAGGCATGAAGTCTCCCACCTGGAAACAGTGGTGTGGTATAGCCTGCTGAGAGATGGGGGAGAGGAAGAGGAGGCGTTCTTCAATTTCAGGCTCCCCAGCTACAGAGCAGTAGTGGTGCATAAGCTGGGACAGACTATTGTTCCCAGACAGGCAGAAAGAGAGTCCAGCCTGGAGATAAGGACTGCACAGGTGTCGAGTATCAGGTATGGAGCAGTCCCTCAGTTCACACATGTGGCCTCACTCGATCCTCACTACTGCTTTGTCAGGCACATACTGCTTCCATTTTGCTGATGTGCAAAGTAATCTCTGAAGTCACATTGAGAAAATCAAAGAGCTAATGATCCAAGATTAGGATCCTTTTACTGTATCCTGACTTCCTAGGAGCCTTTCTTTGGCACCCTGGGTGAACCTCTTCAAGGAGGCTGAAGGGCCCTGGGGAAGAGAAGGAGGCTGAAAAAGGCCTTCATAGTATAAAGGAGCAGATCTACAGATCCTCCTATATACGGACTTGGGCTGGGCCCCTGCCACCTTAGCTCATAACTCCCAGTAGATCTGGTATTGATTCTTTGGCAGTGCCTAAGACTGTTCCCTTCCTGTGTGGCCCCTGAGGAGAATGGGATAGAGCAGTGAGTTTTTAAAATGTTACAGGTATTACTGATCACTTCCTGTGTACATTTTCCTGCCACTTACCACCTGTGTGACTTGACAAGTCACTTAACCTCTCTGAGATGCAGCTCCTTGCCTGGAGCTAG